ATGTTATACTTCCAGTCCAAACTGAAAATCAGAGCAGGAACTTAAAGCTGGAACCTGAAGTGCAGTAATTGCTTGTGACCAGGGAACTCACTGGTAAAGGAGTACATCAGGAATCATGGAAGATGCTGCTTGCTAGCTAACTCATACACAAGTTCATGCTTAGGTAGCTTTCTTTGCACAGCCCAGAAACACCTAGAGATAGTGCAGTCCACAGACCTATTTCACTAAGTAAGCAAAAGTCTCCCATAGACCAATCTGATAAAGACAATCACTAGACTGAGACTCCCTTTCTAGGTGACTCCAGGCCATGGCAAGCTGACAACGAATGCTAACTAGGCCAGATTACTTCAGAATTTTCTTCTTTTGAAGATTACATAAGGGCTGGAGAGATGGCTCAGTGGTTCAGAGCACTGGCTGCTCTTCCAGAGGTCCTGAGTTCCATTCCCAGCAACCACATGGTCTGTGAAAGGATTGGATACCCTCTTCTGGCATGCAGATATCCATGCAGAGAACTGTACATAAAATATAAATAAAAATTTAAAAATTACATAATATGGCCTACTATGAATATTTTTCTTATCCATTTACCCACTGATATACTGGCTTGAGTTGTTTCTGTTTTAACTCTATTAAACAATGCTGACATAACCACCGTTGTCAATTCTCCTAAGTATACACTCAGAAGTGAAGTTACTAAACCACTTAATTTGAAATTTCATTTCTCTTTAAATTCTCAGGACAGGGTTTCTCAGTGTAGTTCTGGCTGTTCTAGAACTTGGATCTGTAGACCAGGATGGCCCTGAACTCATAAATTCAACTCATGTGCCACTCACTACTGCCTGGCTCTAAATTCCATTTCTTAAGGAGCTATAAGACTGCACATTCCAAGCTGGGCGTTGGTGGCACACCCCTTTAATCCTAGCACTCGGGAGGCAGAGGCAGTGGCAGGCAGATATCTGTGAGGCCAGCCTGGTCTACAGAGTTCCAGGACAGCCTCCAAAACAATACAGAGAAGAAACCCTGTCTCAAAAAAACAAAAAACAAAAAAAAAGGCTGGGCAGTGGTGGTGCACGCCTTTAATCCCAGCACTCAGGAGGCAGAGGCAGGTGGATCTCTGTAAATTCAAGGTCAGCCTGGTCTACCAAGTGAATTCCAGGACAGCCTCCAAAACAATACAGAGAAACCCTATCTGGGGGCGGGGGAGATGGCACAGTCCTGCTAACTCTTTCATCATCTGCCTTTTTTTTTGTTCATTTGTTTCTCAAGGTATCCAGGGATTGATCAGAAAAAACAGTTGAGGATGACCTTCAACTCCAGATCTTATCTAGATCTTAATTTACCAATGATGGGGTTAAAGGACTTCAGGCACCACCCAGATTAGTTTTGTGATTTCTGTGATGTTTACTTCTATTTTAAGTGTTTTGCTGAGGGGCGTTGGTGGTGCACACCTTTAATCCCAGCGTTTGAGAGGCAGAGGTAGCCAGGTCTCTGTGAGTTCCTGGCCATCCTGGTCTACAAAGCCAATGCCATGACAGGCTCCAAAGCTACATAGAGAAACCTTGTCTCAAAAAAAGTGTTTTGCCTGTGTACCTTGTGCATACAGATCCCATAAAGAGAGTAATGTAGCCCCTGGAAAGGGGGTTACAGTGAGCTGCCTTGTGGAATCAAATATGAGTTTCCTCAAACAGCAGTGCTTTTAACCACTGAACCATCTTCAGGCACTATACATATTTCTCCTGCCAGATTTGCTTTTTTGAGGAATTGTCTTACTATATTGCGTAAACCAGCTTAAGTGCTGGGATTACAGGTGTCTTTTTGTTTTAACATTTAAGTTATTACAGGATGTCACTGAGCTTGAAACATTTTAGAAATTTTGAGTGAAATGTCTTGCTTTTCAAATAAAGTTGTTTATATTACGGAGCACCTTAGTGTGGGCCCATGCAGCCTTAGGCTAGGGCTGGTCACCAGAGAATCCTTGTTCTTATCAATGCAAAGTTCAACCCCACCCTTGTAAAAGAGATGCTGGTCAGAGACAAAGTTTCACGTGTGGAAGTTAGAGGATAACTTGTGGGAGTCATTTATTTTCTTGGTCCCCAGGATCAAACTCAAGTCATCAAGCTTGGCAACAAATACCAGCTGTACATAAAAACTCTTGCATCAGATCTGATGGCTTTCCAAGTTATTCAGTATCAATAGAAGTGCTACTTCAATAAGGTCACAATGGAAGGAATGGCAACATGGCTGAGTACTAACACTTGCTGTACAGTAATCTGCAGACCTTAGATTAGAATTCAATACCTAGAACACAAAGGTAGAGGGACAGGACTAACTCCACAAAGTTGTCCTCTGACCTCCACATACTTACTCACTATGACATGAATATACCCCCAACAATTATTTTTTTAAAAGAAGACAAGAGGGTGGAGAGATGGCTCAGTGGTAAAGGGCACTGACTGCTCTTCCAGAGGACCTGGGTTCAGTTCCCAGCACCCACACGAAGCTGGATCTGACACCTTCACACAGACATATAAGCAGGCATAATACCAATGCACATGAAATAAAAATAAATTATGAGAAACAAATAAAATGCACATTAATTTAAAAAAGGAAACAATGGGGAAAAGTGAAAACATTTTGGCTGAGAAATGACTCAATGGGTAAAATTTTTACTATGCAAGTATGAGGACATGCCTTTACATTCCTATCACCCATGTAAATGCTAGGCAATAAAGAATGTTCTCTAAACTATTCCTGGGGGAGAATGTGGGAAGCTTGTTGGCCAGCCAGTCCAGTCAAAGCAGTAAGCACCACGTTTGGCAAGAGACTTTGTCTTAGAATATAAGATGGTAAAAGAAGACACCTGATTTTGACTTCAGATGTGCATGCCTTGGTATATATGTGTAAGCCTTTATGCAAGAGCATACATGAATGTACTCTGGAGTGCACACACACAATCAGAATTTCTTCTGGAAAAATTAGATTTAATCTCTAGAAATATAATAACCATTTATATTTACACAATAAGTAACACATAGACAAAATATATGGGGCAAAAATTCCTAGAGGGATGATGAGATGGCTCAGTGTGTAGAGGTCTTTGCAACCAGGCTGATGACATGAGTTTGATCCCTTAACCCTCATGGTGTAAAGAGAGAACCGTCCCACAAGTTGTTCTCTGACCTTCACACATGCCTGTTTACACAAACACACAGACACACAAACCTGTGTGCAAACACACTAAAGATAGATTAAAGGTAAATATAATAATAAATGCTTAAGTTATTTTTAAATAGTATCTAATTTTTTTGAGATTGGTTCTTATTATGTATCTCAGCTGTCCTGGAACTCACTCTGTAGACCAGGCTGGCCTAGAACTGCCTGCCTCTGCCTCTCAAGTGCTGGGATTGAAGTGCAACACTAGGTGGGCCTCAAGTATCTGATCTTAATACCATCTTAAATTATCTTTAAATGACTTAAGAGCTGCTAGCAATATTAATAGTTCTGGGAAGGAGCTGAAACTATTTAAAATTACAAAGACTGTAAAATGACTTTTTTTTTTTTGGTTTTACAGGGTTTCTCTGTATTGTTTTGGAGGCTGTAGGTCCAGCCCAGCCTCGAACTCACAGAGATCCGCCTGCCTCTGCCTCCCGAGTGCTGGGATTAAAGGCATGCACCACCACCACCCAGCGGTAAAATGACTCTTAACTCTGCATTTTATTCAAACATATGGCGAACCAAAGTGGAAGCAGCATTTTCCAAATTGTAATTGTTATGACTTTTTACTTGTACTAACAATCAATTGTTCATGTTCACCAAGTTGTTTTTCTAAGTAGAAGTACCCCTTCTCTTGTGACAAAGCACATAAGGGACTCCATTAGAAGAACTTGCCTATGAAGCCTACACTAACCTTCAGAAGACAGAGAATAAATTGATACACATGAGCTCTACAGTTAAAAATAGGTATTTAAAATGAATTTGAAATAATGTAATGACTTACATACAAGCCTTTAAAATATTTAAACTCATGCCGGGCATGGTGGCACACACCTTTAATCCCAGCATGCAGGAGGCAGAGGCAGGCAGATAGCTGTGAGTTCAAGACCAGACTAGTCTATAAGAGCTAGTTCCAGGACAGCCTCCAAAGTCACAGAGAAATCCTGTCTCGAAAAACAAAAACAAAACACACAAAAAAAATTAAACTCAAGCTTTATCGTTGAGTATGGTGGTTCACACCTATAACCCCAGTATTGAGGAGTTCAAGGTCACCCCCAGGTACAGAAGGACCCTGCCTCAAAACCAACAAAAGCAAAAATAAACAAATAAAAGTTTGTTTGGCTGCCCATGATGCTGTATGCCAACACTAGGAAGGCAGAGGCAAGAGGACCGGTCTTGCATTTCAATGCTAGCTCAAGTTCAATGCTAGCCTAGTCTACAATAGTGAGTTCCAGGCGAGCCAGATATAATATGCAATGAGACCCTGTGTCAAAATGCAGACACTTACAGAGGTATCATCAGTTGTGGATAAGCTCTGTAGCAGACAAGGCAAATTGCTAAGTTCAATCTCAAGAACATACAGTGTATGTGTATTATTAGTATATAAATGCACACATGTATGTATACATATAAATACACACATACAAAATTAATTAGGATGATTCCAAGAGCCAGACAAAGTGGCACATGTTTGACAGTCTCAGAATTTGACTGGGATGGAGGAGCAGGAATTCAAGACCATCCTAAGCTACATGGCTGGGCTCTTGTATCAACTCTCCCAACCTAGACCTGGTCGGTATTTCCAGCTACTGAGGAAGTTGAGGCAGGATAACTGAAACGCAGGAGGGGGCCACGTGGTAAGACCGTTCACTGGGGAGAGAGAAAGGAGGGCAAAAAGAAATGTTAAGGCTGAATTGAGCAGATTAACTGGGAGCTAAGTGACTGACTGGGAAATTGAAAGCTGAGATGCGTTAGTGATGAGCCCACGAAGGTGCTTAGCCACTTACCCAGAGATTTACTCAATGAGGACGGGCCGCAGGTTTCCACAGGTCGATCCACTGCCGGTAAGAAGACTGTCGTGAACTTTGGCTCCCCTTTTCACTAGTCAACAGTCACCCTCACCTACACGCGGAGTACATATTTGGCACTCATTTTTTTTTTTGATTGAATGAAAACCCCCGAATTACGTACGGCCCTACAAATCATCCCCAACCGAACTTCTTGACTTAACCCAAAGAGCTAAGAAAGTAGCAAGCAAGTTTCGAGGTACATCTGTAACGGTTGGGACCTCTGAAGAACCAACAGGGTCTACACCAACCCAACTTTCCGTAGGTAAACCTAATGAGGGGGCTAGGGAGCTGAACCTCGACTGGTGGGCTTGGGCGTTCACAAGGAGGTGGCCGAGAGGACGCAGATCAGTGACCTCCCACTCGGGGGCGCTGAAAGATCCGGGGGTTATTACCCCCTAAAGTGAGTACCTGGGAAGCTACGGCACAGAGAGTGGCTCCGGGCTCTCATTCCGGAGGCCAGGGCCTGGAGCCGGCCAACCGCGCCTCCCGGCTGAGGGTTCCTTGCTCCGGGGCGGTATTGACAGCTCAGCTCGCAGAGAGATACCTCACGCTTGACGAGGCTCCTGGCTCCAAGAACTGAGAAAACTGTCAGACCGATGTCGACTTGTTTTCCTCAGAGCTGCTTCTTCACGCGTCAAGCGATCTCTCCCGCCCTAAGCCAGCAACCACTCGCTCCCCGGCGCCGCCATCGTCAGTGTTTGTTTTCATCCGCTTCGGTGCTGGCGGTGGGGAGAGCGAGCGCTATGGGGGAAATGCAGCTGCCAAACTATACTTACACTTTCGCTACACCGCAGGTGTCTTATTTAGTCTTTCCGCACCTCAGAGTCTCCATGAAAGTTGCTTTCTTTCCAGAAATAATCCTTTTGCTCAATTTTAAATCCTCTTAAGAAAGGGAAAAGTTATGGAGAGGGATTTTGCGAGCTCGAGACCGTTTGGGCTTCGTGTGGAATGTTCGGCAGCGAAGCTCAGGTTGCGGCGGCCGCGGTGTTGAGGACGCGGCGTGGGGCGGGCGCTGACGCGGAGGGGGCGGAGCCGTTGTTGCGCACCATGACGGTCCGAGTGCCGCAGCGGGTTCCGGAGGAGGGCCTGCCCTGGCTGGGAGGGCTCAGTGTGCTCCCGGTAACCCGGCCGCTGCGGCGAGATAGGGACCAACGTTCGCTGACTCAGGGTGTCGGAGCAGTCAGACTTTGGTATCAGACTTTGGTATTTTGCTTTTTTGAGACAAGGTCTCGCTTTGTAACTCAGGTTATCCTAGAATGTACTGTATGTAGCTCAAGCTGTCCTGGAACACGCGGCCCAGCTTCCAGAATGCTAACTTTCCGACCAGCCTTGGGAGTTTGTTTTGTTTTTGTTGTTGTTTGACCGGCGCTTTTGTAGCTCAGGCTTGTCTCGACCTCATGCTCTTGCCTCCACCCTTTAAGAACGTTATGTTTATGTTTTGGAGGAGGGGCGTGCTTTGGCAATGATGTGGAGGTCAGAGGACAAGTTGCGTCAGACAGTTGTCTCCTTCCACCATGTGAGTCTCAGGAACCAACGCATTTCACCAGACATTGCAGCCACCCCAGTGCTCTCGGACCCCTCTCTCTGTCCCTTAATGATATTTTGAAGGTGGGTTGTAAAAGTGACCCAGGCGTTCCAAATCTGTTTCTCTCAGCCTCTTCCTCCTTTCCTTCTTTTTCATACTGGCTATTCTTCCTTCCTTTCTAGCCTTCAGCCTCAGGATTTGGACCTCTTGAGATAGAGGCAAAGTCTGTTACAGCAGACAGTGTAGGTCCCCAGGCAGGTCATGGACTCTTTTCTTTCCTCTTTGCTTCTTAGTTAGACTGGTTTGAGCACTCCCATATCGGTCTTGTACTTGCAAGGTGGAGCCATAGGGCTTTGAAAAACAAGCTTCCATGACTAATCCTTAAGGTGTTTAGGTGTTTGTGACTTGTTAGTTGCTTCATGGCCGCCATAGACCTCTTTTAGCTTGTGAATAGTTACACCATCACCTCTTGTGCTGTTCTCAGTTGAAATGCCAGGCATTAAATGAGCCACTCCAATTGTCTTCAAATCAGACCAAATTTATCATATGGATGAGTTAGTGGAGAAAATCCAGAGGGTTTTGTTGTTGTTTTGTCTGTCTGTCTGCCTGCCTGCCTGCCTGCCTGCCTGCCTGCCTGCCTTCCTTCCTTCCTTCCTTCCTTCCTTCCTTCCTTCCTTCCTTCCTTCCTTCCTTTCTTTTTTCAGACAGGGTTTCTCTGTGTAGCTTTGCAGCCTGTCCTGGATCTAGCTCTTGTAAACCAGGCTGGTCTGGAACTCACAGAGATGTGCCTGCGTCTGCTTACCTCTGCCTCCCGAGTGCTGGGACTAAAGGTGTGCGCCACCACTGCCGGTCGAAAATCCAGAGTTAAAAAGTGAATTGCTAGCCGGGGGTGGTGGCGCAGGTCTTTAGTTCCAGCACTCGGGAGGCAAAGGCAGGTGGATCTCTGTGAGTTGGAGGCCAGCCTGGTCTTCAAAGAGAATTCCAGGAAAGTCTCCAAACCTACAGAGAAACCCTGTCTCAAAAAAAAAAAAAAAACCAAAAAAAAAAAAAAAAAGAATGTCTGAAAAAGTATTGTAGGTTTTGAATCAGTTGGTATGGTTTTAGTAGGATGATCTAATTTTTCTGTTTTGTTCTTGTCTTTGTTTTTTAAGACGGTTTCTCTGTGTAGCCTTGACTGGCCTGGAACTCAGCGATTTGCTTACCTCTACCTCCTGAGTTCTGGAATTGAAGGCGTTCACTGCTGCTGCTGCTATCACTATCCAGCTCTAATTGTTTTTTTTGTTTGTTTGTTTGTTTGTTTTTGGTTTTTGAGACAGGGTTTCTCTGTATTGTTTTGGAGGCCGTCCTGGAACTTGCTCTGTAGACCAGGGTGGCCTCGAACTCACAGAGATCCGCCTGCCTCTGCCTCCCGAGTGCTGGGATTAAAGGTGTGCACCACCAACACCCGGCGCTCTAATTGTTTTTTTTTTTAATTACTTTTCAGAAAGAAGATTATACATGCCAGAGTTATTTAACTGATGGTCTAGCTATTGAATTCTGACACTTCCTTCTTGTGCCAACTTCTTCATTGGAGAAATTCAGAACAAGCAGATATAAGTGTGTATCCTCATTGGCTATGGCTATACCAATAACAGTACTTGACTGTGATCTCTTGCTGTATGGCCGAGGTCACCGGACCTTGGACCGGTTTAAGTTGGATGATGTGACTGATGAATATTTGATGTCCATGTATGGATTTCCCCGACAATTCATTTACTATTTAGTGGAACTCTTGGGGGCAAGTCTTTCACGACCTACTCAGCGATCTAGGGCTATTAGCCCAGAGACACAGATCCTGGCAGCGTTGGGCTTTTATACCTCAGGTTCCTTCCAGACTCGGATGGGAGATGCTATTGGAATTAGTCAAGCCTCCATGAGCCGATGTGTTGCCAATGTCACCGAAGCCCTTGTGGAAAGGGCCTCCCAGTTTATCCACTTCCCAGCTGACGAAGCTGCCATGCAGTCTCTAAAGGATGAATTCTATGGATTGGCAGGGATGCCAGGTGTGATAGGGGTGGTTGACTGTATCCACGTGGCAATCAAGGCACCCAATGCGGAAGACCTCTCTTATGTGAACCGCAAGGGTCTGCATTCTCTGAACTGTCTGGTAGTGTGTGACATCAGAGGGGCACTAATGACTGTGGAGACGAGCTGGCCAGGTAGCCTCCAGGACTGTGCTGTGCTACAGCAGTCTTCTCTAAGCAGTCAGTTTGAAACTGGGATGCACAAAGGTAGCTGGCTTCTTGGTAAGTTTGCAAGTGTAAATATTGAGTTTATACCCATAGAAAAGTTATGCTGTAGAGTGGTGAGATCTAAGATTTGCTAGTATTACTTTGTCCTTTCTCTTACTCTGTGAAACCTCAGGTGAAAACTCTCTGAGCATTCATTTTTTCCCCCTGTCATTATTATTACTTTTTAGAGACTTTTTGAGATAAGGACTTGCTATGGAGACTGCCTAGCCTTGAACTCAAACATTCACTTTCCTTTGCCTCTCGTGTGGTGGATTAAAGGTGTATACCACCACACCCTCACAGTTCTTTTCATTATTATTCTTGTACTAGGGATCAAACCCAAGGCTTGGGAATGCCAGGCAAGGATTCTAACACTGAACCTTCAACCTTTGCTCCATGATTAAAAAAAAAAATCAGTATTTAAGGGATAAAGAGATATATATACTCAGTGGTTAAGAGAACTTGTTCTTTTTTTTTTTAAAGATTTATTTATTTATTACATATGCACCAGATTGAATTGTAGATGGTTGTCAGCCACCATGTGGTTGCTGGGAATTGAACTCAAGACCTCTGGAAGAACAGTCAGTGCTCTTAACCTCTGAGACATCTCTCCAGCCCAAGAGAACTTGTTCTTGAAGAGGACCTGAGCCAGGCGGTGGTGGTACTCACCTTTAATCCTAGCACACAGGAGGCAGAGGCAGGTGGATCTCTGAGTTTGAGGCAAGCCTGGTACACAGAGCAAGTGTCAGGACAGAGAAACCCTATCTCAACCCCTTCCCACAAAATAGGACCTGGATTTGATTCCTAACACCCACAAGTCCAGTTTCAAGGGACCCAATGCCATCTGTCCTCTAAAACACAAGGCATGCACATGGTATACAGACAGACATACACATGCAGGCATAACACCCAGACAATTAAAGGAATGTTAAAAATTTTTAAACAAAAACTATCTAAGCTGGGTGTTTATATGCTTGTAATCCTAGTGCTGGGTGTTGGTTGAGGTAGAATTCTGAAGTTCTAGGTACAGCCTGGGCTTTATTTTTTATTTATTAAGTATACAGTGTTCTGCCTGCATATGCCCAGCCTGCCAGAAGACAGTACCATATCTCATTCAAGGTGGTTGTCAGCCACTATGTGGTTGCTGGGAATTGAACTCAGGGCCTCTGGAAGAGCATTCAGTGCTCTTATCCTCAGAGCCATTTCTCCAACTCCCAGCATGGGCTTTATAACGTGTTCCAGACCAACCTGGGAGTAGAGGGAGACCCTGTCTCAAAAATGAAATAAGGGACTAGGAAAGTAACTCAATTGGTAGAGTACAAAGCCTTGGGTTCGGTTAGGTTCTCATCACTGCATAACAACTATTTCCTAGTACTCAGAAGGTAGAGAGGCAGGAGGATCAGAAAAGTTCAAGGTGAGTTTGAGCCCAGCTTGTGATACATGACCTCTTGTCTCAAAAACTAAACAAGGGGATGGAGAGATGGCTCAGAGGTTAAGAGCAATTCCTGCTTTTACAGAAACCCGGAGTTCAGTTCTCAGTACCCACATTGGGCAGCTCACAATTCCCTGTAACTCCAGCTCTAGGGGATTTCATACCCTCTTTTAGCTCCAGAAGACACTTGAACCCAGATGGGCTCACGTACATACATACACACACACACACACACACACACACACACACACACACACACACACACACACACAAATTTTAAAGAGTAATAATTACAGTAAAGCACATTCTCTGGAACTAACAAATGTTATTTGCCCTCATTTTACTTTTAAGAATTAATCTTTGGTTGTATGTTCATGAACATGTAAAATAAGATGTGTGGTGACAGAAGCTTGGAATTGCAGCACGTGGGAGGAGGGGTCAGGAGGATCAGGGATTCAGGGTCATTCTTGGTTTACATACGATGTTTAAGACCAGCATAGGCTACATGAGACCCTTCATCAAAAGACAAAAATCAAAATCAAACAGAAAAACAAGATCACGAGAATTTGCATTGCCAATAGTATCTACAGAAACAACCCTGTAGGTTTTTCAACCTTTGTAATGCTGTGATCCTTTAATACAGTTCCTCATGTTGTGGTGACCCCCAATTAAAATTATTTGTTGCTATTTCATAACTGGAATTTTGCTACTGTTATGAATCGTAATGTAAATATCTGTGTTTTCCAACCGTCTTGGAAATCCCCAAAGAGGTCATGACCCACAAATTGAGAACCATTGCTGTAGAGACTTGGGAGATAGCTCAGTGGTAAAGTGCTTGCCATTCAAGTCTGGGACCTGAGTTTGATACTATTCAAGTATGAACTCATGTTTAAAAAAAAAAGCCAGCTGTGGTGGCACACACTTAAAATTCTAGTACTAGAGAGGCAGAAATAGGCAGATCTTGGAGCTGAACTCCAGCCCAAGGAGAAACCCCATCTCAAGCAACATAGTAGGCAGTACCCAAACACTGTAAGTTGACCTCTGGCCTCAACTCTCTGGACTCAAAACACACACAAACATACACACTAATCCTGTAAAAGTAATCTCAGTTTCTCCAAAATACCAGTGCAGGGCTTGTTAATTATAGTATAACCAGTAGGGGCAATAATTGCTATCATCTCAAAATGGTGAATATAAAGCCAGTGGCAAGTGGCAGTAATGCCTATTGTGAGGATTGCATAGTACATTTCAAAATTCACTATATACTAACTTCGAAGTACCAAATGTGAAACACTGCTGCTATTGCTGGGATATCTACATGAAAATGGTAGTAGACAGCTCATAGGCAGGTTTGTATGTTTGACACAGGTGTCATTTGTAGCCCAGGCTGGCTTAAGATGATCATCTTGCCTCTCTTTTCCAGTGCCGCTGTGACCATGTAACATTTAAACATTTTTTTATTTCTGAGACACAGGTTTCTCTGTATGATCCTGGCTGTCCTGCAAATCACTCTGTAGACCAGGCTGGCCTCAAACTCACAGAGATCCTCTTCCCCCTGCTTCCCAAGTGCTGGAATCAATGATATGCACCACCACCACCCAGCTAACTTTTGTTTGTTTGTTTGTTTGTTTTTGTTTTAATTTTTCAAGACAGGATTTCTCTGTGTAACAGCCCTAGCTGTCCTGGAACTTGCTCTGTAGACCAGGATGGTCTCAGACACACAGAAATCCGCCTGCCTCTACCTCCTGAGTGCTGGGATTAAAGGTGTGCACCACCATTACTCAGCTCCAATTAATTTGTTTAGTCACATATATATATATATGGGGGCGGCATGACTGCCATGGCAAATGTGTAGAGGTCAGAGGACAATTTGCAGGAATTGTTATCTCCTTTCACCATGTGGGTTCCAGGGATTGAACTCAAGTCTTCAGGCTTGGTGGCAAGTACCTTTACAGGATAAATCATCTTGCTGACCCCTTTTTTTTTCCTTTGTTTTGTTTTAGGGGGACATGGTCTCATGTAGCCCAGGCTAGCTGAGGTAGAATTTTTATTGTAAGAACTTGCTTCGTTGTGGATGGTGGTGGATCACAGCTTTAGTCCCAGGACTCAGGAGGCAGGCAGGTGGATCCTTGAGGTCAAGACCAACGTAGTCCACAGAGTGAGTTCCAGGACAGCCAGGGCTACACAGAAACCCTGGCTTGAAAAACAAAACAACAACAACAAAAGAAATTGCTTCTCCATTCTGCTCGTATCTGCTAAGCCTTATTTAAAGGCTGACTCATTGGTCTGAATGGGACCATCAAGCAGTATAAACCAAAGTGACTGTGCAGCTGTGAAGAATACTGTTAGTAACAATGAAACCCTTGAGCCTGGGAGCTTTATTAATTTGAGCTTTACTCTTTTTATTTTATCTGTGTGGGTGTTTTGTATGTCTGTGCATCTTGTGTGTGTCTGGTGCCTGCAGAGACCAGAAGGTGTTAGATGGCTTAGAGCTGGAGTCACAGATGGTTGTGAGAAGCTATGCTGATGACCAGACTCAGGTTCCCTGGAAGAGCAGCCAGTGCTCTTACGTACTGAGACGTCTCTCCAGCCCCTTAAGTTTACTCTTAGATAAGCAACATATTATGTACAACACATTATGTTTTATTTGTTTGTTTTGATTTCAAGACAGGGTGTCTATGTGCCTTCGTTGTCCAAGAATTAAATCTGTAGACCAGGCTGAGGTCAATCTCAGAGATCAATCTGCCTCTGCCTCTGTCTCCTGAGTGCTGAGATTATAAGGCATGCTCCACCATGCCTGCACCATGTATCATGTTTAAGAGTGGAATGATTCATTAGAGTTGAGCATGGTGGCTCCTGCCTGTAGTGTCAAATATTGCAAAGACTAAGGCAAAAGGGATCACTTGAGCCCAGGAGTTCTCACCTAGACGGAAAGGAAAGAGCCGGGCATAGCAGTGTACACCTGTAACAAAGCACTTGGGAGATTAGGCAGGAAGGTGACTTCAAGACCAGTTTCTGCTACTCATTTTTTTTTTTTTGGTTGTGAGCCTAGCCTTTAATGACTGAGCTATCCCTCCAGCCCTCTGCTACTCATTAATGTTATGGCCAACCTAGGTCTTCTGTGGGGTCCAGAACTATGCTTTCATTTTTAAATGAGTGAGTTTATTAAATATATGGCAAACAAAAGTGAAAGAATAAGTAGCAAGTGATAAATTGTGTGTGTGTGTGTGTGTGTGAGGGGGGGAAGGGGGGAGAGAGTGATATCATTAAATCAGGGGTTTACAGACATTGTGTAGAAAGTGACTGGGGAAACTGAGGCAGTCAGCTGAAATTCCTCTGGGATGAGCTTTCTTTCCAGGCTGAACTTCCTCCAGCTTGTCTTTCTCACTGTAGGCACTTTTATATCATGGGCTAAATAACAGAAAGATCTGTTAACATGGCTCCACTTCCAGCCAATTCAAGAACAAGATGTTTTCACTCTTGAGCTGTTTTGCTGTTCTTTTCTCTCATATCACAAAGTTTGGAGCAGGCAGCCCATCCCCAGACAGGGAGACTTGGAAAACAGAGAGACAACTTGGGCCTG